GTTTTTTATACTGCACTGTGAGCGCACAAAAAACATTTCCTTGTTTCCATTACGCCCACCCCTAACGCCCATTTGTGCACTTGTTTGCATACGAAAGATTTATTTATAGCCAGCGGTGTGCGCATTGTGGAGCACTTTAGAAGGGGGGGAGGAGGAGGACGGTGTCCGAGGCGCTTAGACGGCCGGCCTATTAGTCTATTTTTGTTTTGTGCTATTGAACCCAATAGACAGACATGGACGTCGAAATGTACGAGTAAAGTAGCGAACAAGAATACTGGCGGAGGGAGGGGGCAGACCATGTCACTGCAGCTCATTTAAAATTCCAAAAGTGACGTTGTATCCTTGGTGTATCCATGGCCAGAATTACCGTTTTATGTCACACACAGCCGCCCAGCAGAAATGTTTGCGCTCAGCTCATATGCACGCGAAAGGACGAATCGCATTCACAGCCATCGTGACATCGTGTTGTCCTTTCGCAAAAGGTCAAAATTTTCAACATTACTTCGCCACTTTTTTTTGTGCAGCCACTGCCACTTGCACTTGAAATTTTTGAGTGCCGTCGTTTTGTCTGTGGTGCGACATGGAAATTAATGCAAGTCTCTTTGATTTTTTTTTTTTGCTGCACATTTATTTGAGTACGTTTTTTTTTGAAGGTCGCTCAGCTAGTAACCTTGGCAGTTTCCAGGGTTAAGCAAATTACTTTTTTGCAGAAACAAATGCAGTCAAATATTTATTGAATGGACTGCAGTGGCAAATATAAGGCTCTGTATAGTAGATATTCTATTTTCTATCAAATAATTGAACGGCGCAATTTTGTGAAGAAAACAAAAATTGTATTGAATACACAAAGACCGTGCTTAATATTAATATACAATGAAGTTTCTATCTTTTATTAAATTGTTAATTTCCAAAATGCAGTTAAATATGTGTTCGATGTGCTAAGCTAAGAGTTCGTTTTGGTCAAAACTTTTGGATTTTCAAAATCTAAAGACTTGAATGGCTGAAAATTTGTTGGTTGTATTCGGCTTTCAAGAAAAACCTTTTAATACAGATTTAGAGAACATTCGTAATTCTTATCGCTCATTCAAGTAATCTATTGGCCCAGTGCCTGATCCAGATGCCTGATGCCTGATAGCTGCACATATCAGCATTGAATCAGTGAAATACTCTGCTAACAAACTTCAGCATTGACTTCGTTTTAAATTTAATATGAAAGCGTTGCTATTCTACTCCCAAGTTGCGATACAATCTACAGGGTGCGCCATAAGTAACACCTCATGTACGAATAACACTTGCATTTTTAAATTATGTTTATGGACACCAACATAGAACGATTTTAAAAAGACTCCTTTCAAGACCAAAAGTGTGCTAGAATCCAATTGATTCTACAGTAAGTGCTTGGTCTCTAAGTTTTAGAATGAATATCAAACTAAGCCGTGTGGTAATAAGCTCTACCGTTTTAAGCTAACAGTTGAATCAAAAACAAATAATGTTTAATAAATAAAATTTAATTTATATAATCAAAAACAAAAATTCACAAAAAGTTATTACCGAAGTATTTGTTAATATCGACGGTTTTGTTCCACTGCCGATAGTTCGACAGCAATACTAACCACTTCTGTAGCATTTGGTCGATAGCTTGATACGTTCTTCTACTTCTACAACTTTCGTCAAAAGGAAAATATTGACTCAAACCCCTACCGTATCACTTTAGAAAAAACAACATAATCAAATCTTGTTACATATTTATTTGTGAATTCTCAAGAAAAATGTAAATGTATTTGATACGATTTGTTGTTATGTTCTTGAAGCTTCATGATATGCCTTGTGGTTTGTAAAGTAGTTTGTTTCGATTTTGATTAAAATTTCTAAATATGTATGTAGTCGTGAGCTCATTAAATGTATGGAAATGTAGATACAGGTAATTGGTATTATTATTTACTTAGATAGTGAATAGGCAATGGTTTTAACACTAAATTAGATTGCACTACTTGTTGTTGTTGCTGTTAGGCTCGGTTCGATACAAGTTTCGTTAACCGTTCATCATTCAATTGTGTTTAAATTATAACGCCTAATGTTTTACAAAATAAAAGTCAACTTGTGCCGACTTTCAATTTAAATTAAACACTAATCAACTATTACTAAAGCCGTCAAATATTCATTTCTCCAATGCTGTCTTTGTTTCATTTGAATAGAGAGGCTTTTGTGCTATCTCTGGTTAAAAATTCATGAGTTGATTACAAAAGTTGGCTAGGATAGGATATGAATTATGTATACTAGTATGTATGTGTGTGTATGTGTTTTCATACTGCTATACAATATATACGCTTTTAGTTAATGTATTAAACTCTGAAAGTGCAAACAATGTTTTGGTTTTTTTACGCGTCTCGTTTTGAGTTCTATTTAGATGTAAATACAAGTTTTAATAGTTCTTTGGTTAATGCTCTGCAGTAGTACGACTAAGATTAAATTTATAAGTGTTTTCTCTTGTTTCTTTGAGAATAACATTAAGAATACATTTTGGAACACTGAAATATGTAACTGTCTTCTAAATATGTTTTTATTTGCGTTTTAAGATAACTTAATGAACTATTTCCTAGCCAGTGTGCTGCCTTATAGTCTAGCTGTGGAAAGAGTAACGGTTGTATCTAAGCACTGGCGAGCATCCTCCCTCCCTGCACCGCACCCACTATCTTCCAGCGTATAAGCAAAGTGCGGCACTTTTAATTTGCACTAGAAAATGGCACAAGGTTGCGCCTTTGCCTTTGCCTCAATGTCCTTAAAGCTCAGCGCGACTTGCAGTAATATTTCTTGTTCTTGTTGTTGTTGTTGCTTTGCTATTGACTTGTTTACAGCGCCAAAAATTGAAAACATGTTTCACTTTCCAGCACCACCCGTCGACATTGTCAAAGTTTCAAAGCTGCAACATTTTTTTATACTTTTTTGTTGTTGTTAGTTTGCCATTTTGTGCTAGAAAAAGTTTTCTATGTTCGTATGTCTATTTGAATGTGTGTGTGTGTGTGTGTGTGTGTGTGTGTGTGTGTGTGTGTGTGTGTGTGTGTGTGTGTGTGTGTGTGTGTGTGTGTGTGTGTGTGTGTGTGTGTGTGAAAATGAAACATTGTCTGGTCGTGCTGTGTGTGTGTGGGTGTGTTATCTATTGAATTACTTATCTCACTTTAACTTGCACCTCCGCGTGTCTGTTGGTGTCTTTGTATTTATTAGAAAATATTCAGAGATACATATAATATTGTATAGGGTTTTCTGTTTTTGGAAAATTGCTGTTTCTGTTGGTATCAAAAAATGTATAAAAAATTGTACGCTTAACAAATTGTTTGTTTTTCTTTTTTCTTTTAGTATAGCCTCGTCATCATCTTCTTCTGTAACATCTTCATCGTCTTCGACTTATAAAACTGACTTTAAAAATTGTAATTGCACGTATTTTGTTTCTTTATTGCTTTGTTGGGACCAGCAAATACTATCGTGAAATATTATTTCGTATTAAAATTCTCTTCAAAATTCAATTGAAATCATTACCATTGCATTTATATTAAAATAGTTGTCATATTTTCTATGAATTCTCGAAAATCATCGGTTTTGCTCCAAAACTGGTTAATAAAAAATACAAAACGCTTTTGTAATGAAGAAATTCCTTTCTGTTCATATTGGAATTGTTTGATTGGACTTGTTTGATAATCTACTGTAACACGAAAATAAATCCTATTAAATTCATTAAGGTAATTGGACATTTAACTGATTTCAGACAAAAATAGAATTCTCTAAAGCTTTCCTTATTAAGGGGTACTTTTCCCAAACTAATAAATAATTTGACTAGTTATATAAAAAATATTCGATTGTGGGCAAATAAATAATAATAGAAGGGCTTTTAGGGAGATATACTTCTCCAGATTTGCTTAGATTTATCGTGCGGCATTCGGCTGATATTGCTGCATAAAACTCTTTCATTATTATTATATTCAAATGTGAATGTCTTGGCTCCAATTTAAATTCGTAAAAGAGCAGTATACACGTTTTGATATTTTTCCAATGAATATCATTATTATTAGCACTCAATTTTGTATTCATTTAAAAGTAGGCTTTGAACAGGAAATTCCAAAAACTTTTAAATATATTGTAATGACAGGTTTTTAATTGAAGTAACGTACTTGTAAAATTAAATTTAATTTGTGTACAAATTTTTTAATTATCTGATCATAGCTTAATAAACTAAAAAGTATAGTTGCATTAACAAAAAAAATGAGGATTTCGTCTGTGCATTTTCTATGAGCCTCTTTTGATATTAAAGCTTGCTACAAAACAAATCCTCAAAAAGCCAAAGGGTTTGTAAATTCATTTAAAAACGTTTTCTTGTGCTCAAAACGCTATAGAAGCTCTTAGTGTTTCCTTGTATTATGTAATTATATTATTTTTAGCATCCAATCTCAAATGCTCAGATTTGATTTTAGTTTAAAACGCCTTTGGAAAGCATTCGCCCATCACGGCAATCAATGATAGTCTGTCTTCTGAATTACCATTTTCGTTAAGCTCTACACATTTTTTGTAATTTAAAAACGTAACACAAAATGCACGTTTTCCATCTTTAAAGGCATTTCTTGTTTGCTCAATTCATTTCATTAAGCAATCGTATCATATTTCACGCTAATCTTTGCTGTTCCCGTTTACAAAAAAATGTCGGTGTTGCTAGATTTAAAAATCTATAATATTTAATTTTAATATCAATTCAACTTTTTTGTTTCTGCTTCAAAAACTTTTGTTTAAAGCCTGAATGCTTGCATGGCTGAGGCCCCGGGCCGTCGCATGCAACGCATTGCATTCTAATGAGCCCGCTTAACCAAATGAGCCAGCAGGTGGCGCTGCAGTAACCACAACAGTGGCAAAAAAGGAAAAATGATTTATTTTAAACGTGTTTTAACGCTAATTAGTTTTGCAATGTAAATTAGTCGCGAGTCGTGTGTGTTTTTTTTTTTACGATTAGTAGGCGATGCGTCCCAATCGTGAGGCATGCAACGACGGCTCGGAGCTGGGCAGCTCCCCGCAACGTTGCAGCCAATGCCAGGCATCGGCACACAACACACCGACTCTGGCCAACATTCAGAAGCAGTTGCTGCGGCGCTTCGATGACGTGGACACGGACGAAGACGTCATCAGAATGGCCGCGTTCTATGTTTTCTTAAGCTGTTTTTGTTGCTGTTGCTGCTGTTGTTGTTGTTGCTGCTGCTGCTGCTGCTGCTGCCTGGAGGCGCAGCTGGGCATGCTGAAAGAGGCGCGGCACTTGGGCGTGCGCGAGGACTTCTTGACCAGAAAGCACGTGAGAAATTCAATGGGCGAGGGAATCTTCTGCAGACTCTCCTCCGAGGAGGACGAGGGCTGGCTCTCGCCATGAAGGGTGCACTTGATGCGTCCACTGGCCCCTGGGCCGGTCTCGAGGGCATGTCGATAGTAGTTCTTGCAGCACTTCTTGGACAGATTGTACATGCGTACGGTTCGATCGATGTTCTCATCATCCTCATCGCCGCCGGCCTTCAAATTGAGGCCCAACCCGCCCACACCCACATCGTGCGAATTGGACTTCACCATCTTGTTGGCAGTGGAGTTGGCGCCAGCAGTGGAGGCCGTGGTGGCTGCCGCCTGCGTTGAGGTGCTGGCATAGGGAGGCGTTACCACAGTGTCGAGTGTTTGTTGCTCGGGCACGTCCTGCTCTGTTGCCTGCTCCCGCTCCCGCTCTCGTTCTCGTTCCCGTTCGCGTTCCTTTTCCTGCTCCTCCTCCTCCTCTAGATTGTTTTGGGAGTCATCATAGAACTTATAGCTGCGATAGCGCGCATGCCGCTCCTGCATCCAGTCCGCGCTAGCGGGCAACGAAAGCTGTATTGTGGGCGAGCGATAATACTGCCGATGTGGATGAAAGCCCAGCCCGAAATCGTCCATGTAGGACTGCGAATGGATGTTGTCCAGCTCGTCGGCGACGCTGAGCAGGAAGGGCAGCGTCGACATGGTCTCCTTGCTATTTGTGGTGCGTTGTATTGCGAAAGTTTTCAAATCTCTCTGTGTTGCCTTAAAGCCTTAAAGCTGGTGTCAACTTTTCTCTGAAAGGTCTCCTCAGCGACCAACTCTAGAGCATTGAAAAAAGTTTTCACTTTTCGCCAAGCGAAAATGTTTATATCTATCTATAAATATATATAGATATATATGTATATATATATATCTGTGTATCTATGCTATGGCGCAGTTGCCTTTGCCCCACACATTGACACTCACACACATACACATTCGCGAGTGGTTCACTTGTTTGCTTTGTTTTGCTCGGTTTTTGGTTCGTTTGGGTTCGGTACGGCTTGGCTCGTAGTCTCGGGCTTCTCGCTCCGCTCGGGCGAACTGCACGGGCTCGTGGTTGGCGTTGAACTGAAAATGCAATTTTCCAACTGACTCTCGATTATGTTGCTGGTGATGATGATGACGATGGCTATGGCGATGACGCGAAGGAAACTCCTTCGTGCTCAATGCTCGTTGCATTCGCGCTCTCGGGCCGCTCTGTTTTGGTCACGCGCTCACGCCACGAAGTGCAATGAATGGAAAAACAGCAACAACAACAACAAACAGTCAAAATAGTAAGGAAAACCCGCTGAATAACAAACGAATAAATCCCCTCCACAGTTGCTGTAATTCTTGTTTTGTTTATGTTGTACATTTCAGTTGTTGCAACTGTTTTGTTGTTGCTACATTTATGACCTTACCTTTACATCCTGATATACATTGTTCGATAAGATAATTGTAGTGCATTGCAGAAATCATGCTAAGTACAATGGAGAACATAATATTGTATATAATTATTACAATTCCCAAATATTATCAGCTAGAACAGACAATGATGAACAAGACTTTTAAGCTCATTTCATTGTGACAATTACCAAACAAGAAAAATGTGTATATTTCAAACCTCGAATAGGACAATGAAAAATGAGTAGAGTATGTCTCCTGTATACTCTATATCGGCCCCTCCTTTTTCCACAGTCTTTCAACTATACTATACTTTCTTGCACCAATCGCTTAGTTCACCGAAGGAAATTTTCTTTGGGTATAGGGGATAACGTATAAAAGTAGACTACAATTTTTGTATTTTCAGCATGAAAATGGTTGGTGATTTCCTTTAAAAAATATATCTATTTATATTAAAAAACTCAAAATGTTCCAATAAATTAGTGGCCACACTTTCAAGAAATTGAAAGGTGAGCCGATCAAGACGGCAAGAAAATATCTAAGCCTTTTTGTGTTTCAAGGAATAACAATGTTGTATTTCGAATAGTCAGAAAAATATATACAAGTATTTAAAATTGCCGTATTATTAATTAAAAAAAAAACTTTAGAAATGTTTATTATTCATGTCCAAAAGTCATGCATTCAGAACTACTTTATTTCTAAAGACATTAGAAATTCATCCTGAAAAAAGTTGTCAGTGTCTATCAAATAAAATAGAGCCACCCAAGAGCATATAATATTCGGCTTTGTCAGATATTTCGCTTCTCATTGTTACCATTACTTTTTCCTCGCTGTTGTATTCGCGACTTGGATATACAAGTATGTTGGACCAACGCTTGGTTTATGTTTTGATTTTGCACGTACAACGCGGCGTATGCGTATTATTATGATTGCTTGCCCGCGACCGTAACTGGTTGTGCATGTGTGTGGTAATTGCGTGCAGCTATAGTTGTGTGGGTGGTTTATGTGTGTATGTGCTATAACCGCTCTTACACAGTCACCCTCTACCTCATATTTTTTCACGCGCCCATAATTTGGCCTCCAGCGCAGCTGCAGCTTCGTCGCTCACGTCCTCGTCCTCGTCGGCGTCAGCGTCAGCGTCGTCCGGTGGCCTGCATTGGCATCGTTTGCGGCATGGCTGTGGGTGGACTGCTGAAGGACAACCTTATCAGTGTGTGTGTGTCGCATTTACACAATCTTAGTGCGAAATAATTCATATTATTGCATTTTCGAAGGCTATTATCCCGTCGCCGTCGCTTTTGCTGCTGCTCTCTAAAAACTACTGACACTCAGCATGCGCCTTACAATGGGCGTGGCTCGAGGAATAACTTAATTATATTTTAAAAAACTAAAATGAAATACGGAGACTTTATGGGCTGAACAATGTAAATAAATTAGAGAAAAAAGATAAATTGGAATAAATTAAATTTTCAACTAAGCAACACAATCGAATTATATACTTGTAAGTATTAGCTTCCTAAATCTTGAAATGTAAAAACTGAAAATATTGCACCATTTTGTCCCACTTACAATTTTTTAAATTGTATATTATTTGTTTATAATATCCTCATTAAACCTGAATTGATTTCACCTTTTTCTTAGTAATTTTATTTCAGAATGGGGTTAATTTTAGCTGACAATATTTCATATTGGAAATTTGGTCGGTATTTTTTGCATTAATTTTTATACTCTGCTCTCTACGATGAGATAAGGCGTTGTAGCCATGTCCGGATATAATGCATATTTGACGGATATGAGAAAGAGTAAGAGGTTGAATCTTATCCAATTAGTGCCTATGTATATTCATATGAACTTTAATTGCGATAAATCGCAAGTGATGTTCAGACACACACCTTTTGAAGCAGTATCCGAAACAGGCACTTTTTTCAATCCTCTTCCCCATTGTGAGTTCATTTTAACAATGTTTTTTCTTGGGTGCCTTGTATTTGCATAGAGACTGCACTTGCTTGACTTATCAAATCCATTACTCCGACCCCATAAATCTCAGAATCCAATTAAACTGCCTAATCCCAAGCGCATTTACAACTTGCAACATCCCCTGAAGCCCTTCTGGTCCGGCAATTATGCAGCTTGTTTGTTGGGGCAGGCACAACTAAATACGGAATGAAAAACCACACCACACATACACACATATGAATATATACTTGTATATATTCTCAGTCTTGTTGTTGGAGACACTTAAACCCATGTGGCTGGACGCGTCGCTTGCCTGCGGTGGAAACTTGTCGTTGTCGTTAGTGTTGTGCCACTTATTGAGAGCAATGGACGGAGGGGGCAGGGGAGACAGACAGCCGACACCGAAGCACAGCCACACACTATATAGACAGTTCAGGCATAAATCTTTTAGCACTTTATTTGACACACTTTCTGTTCTATTCTGCTGCTGGAAGGGAATCGGATGGGATGGAGAGATGTGGTTGGGTCGAAGACGGGACGGGCAGATGTCACATACTCATCAATCGGGCGCTCACATTGCAACGGGGCTGATGTCCATGCACCTTGAAGAGCCTTTCTAGACGATGACAACAACGATAAGCAGCTTGACTGGATTGGCTGCATGCTGACTGGCTGGCTGGCTGGCTTGACTCAGACGACGACAGACTGACGCGCTATGCCTTACCAGAGGCTCAGACATCCGTTGTCTGTTTCTGTGCAGCTCGAGTGCATTTGTGCTTGTACAGTGAATAGCAGCTAGGTGCTTCTATAGCTAAATGCTCAATGCACCAGTAGTTGCAATTAAGGAATATATTTCCCGGAATTGGACAGCTTTCTTATACTTTTAGTCACCGCAGATTTTCTAACATAGGTTTTGGAAAATGTGATCAAAACTCAGATTTAATTGTCTAAGGCCATTCGGCTGGTAATTTATCCTTTTCTTATTAGAAATATATATTAGAAAACATGTTTAGGGCGTAGCATTTTTGTGCATATCAAGTGCACAAGTGCTTAACAATTGTCGAACCTTATAATTCATACCCATACGTATTAGTCTAGCATTAGTCTAGCATACTCGTATCTGTAGAGTATGTATGTTAGAATTCGAGGAATTCCAGTATACAAGTACCCATAAAGTTTCGTCAAAATAATTATGCTTAAAACTAATTATTTTTATACCAAAAAAAAAAAAAAAAAAAAAAAACTTTCATAACAGCCATACATAAATCAAAAAATTAATTAATATGAACATGTTGAACCTTTTATATTCGAATCAATCTTATTAAAAACTTCTTAGTTAAAAACTAAATGCTTTAAAGAATCGATTGTGTCCGACTTTAATTAAATATAAGTTTTATGTTGGGGTCTTCCGATAGTAACTTTTACTGTAGATTTAAGCTACATCCATATACTCTTATGTATGTGTGTACTCTTATTGTTGTGACTGTTGTTGCTTTGTTGAATTGTGACACTTTTGCTGTGACACACAATAAACAAGAAAAAATAACAGGCATATAAATTCTAGTTCCTTCAGTTCTTTTAATCGCCTCTCCTTCCCGTCCTGTCTTTTTATTTTACATCCTTTAGTCCTTTACTCGCCTTATAAGTAGGTACGAGTGCAAGCCGCTTCACCCGCATTACATGTCGTTTAATCTATTTAATTGCATTTTAAGCCTTTTGTTTTTGTGCATTCCACTTTTGTGCTTCCCCCTTTTCTGTTTGCTCAGCTGTGAACGCCTGTGTGTATGTATGTCCTCGAACGTATGTGGAGCGTGGGAGCGTTTTGGTAGTTTTAAAAAACAAATTACGCATACGCCCCTTTGGCCATGCACTGAAATATTTATATTTGGGAGGCCGGCAGGCACTTTGTTAAGGAAGCATAATTAAGGGACGTTAAGCTACGATCAGACATGTTCAAAGTAAGTCGCAAACTAGTGCCTAGAAGCCGAAAATTTCCATTTAGTAGACAATTGTAGACTAATCGGGTTAGAAATACTCGTACGTGTATTAATTCACAAATAAATTTTATAAAATTACTTTTCAGAAAAATCAAATTTGATCTAAAAATAAATATCTTGCAAATTGAAACTTGTGGCTATTTCTCATTTTTCGGATTTGTAGTATATACCAGTACACTCGTATATACGGGGAATTTGTGTGTAAATTATTCTGCAGCCTGACCGCAGCCTTAAAATGGTTTTCAGTGCTTAGACTTGAAGAGAATTATACCGGCCGGCATACAGACTGGTAACAACACTGAGGAACTAACGAACTTCTGCCTTCCCTACCTTATCCACCCCCATCTAGCACCACCTAACCATGTCCTTGTGCCAGTTGCGCGTCGTTCATTGCTCAACGCTTCGACTGACTGACGTTTCGTATCAAATTATCTATGAATGCGCAGGCAGGCAGGCAGGTCTGCCTGGCAGGCACGCCATATCGATGACTATTGGAGCATGAATCATGGCTGGGTATAACCGGATCGGAAGCGGTACGAGTGGCTGCCGGCTGCCTGCTGCCTGGTTGCCGTGCTGCATGCGCTGAGTTTTATTTGATTGTTTTTGATTGTCTGTAGGGTCGATGGGTCGTTCGTCTCTTCTGTCGTCTTGGCGTGTGAAATTTTATACATCATTTTGGCAG